AGCTTTCCTGATTTGGGTCTCACACCCCATTTCCATGTTCTTGTGGTTCAAGTTGAGAGCATGGACACTTGAGCATGAGCTAGGAGGAAGTTCATGTACAACCAGTGTCTCCAGAAGAGAGAAGAGCAAACTCTCCACTTCTTCATGAGGACTCCATGGCCCAGACCTCCATTCCTCCTCCAGGAATCCTTGCCTGTGTCCCAGGGGTGGGCCCTCTGTGCAAAGAGCTCTTTACCTCCAGTCATCAGTGTATGTACTCTCACAACTCGGCATCAGTGCTAAAGGAAAATCTTTGTTTTATTGCCAACATTTTCTAAGCACTCGAGTAGACTTGGAGGTGGGAGCCAGGCCAAAGGATCAACAAAAGGGAGCCTGGGATTTTCAAAGGCTCCTGGCAGTACAGACTGGGATCTGTGATATCATCCTGCTGATATCACTTGAGAGGTATTCCATACAAACCAACTGAATCTGTGCTAGAGCTGGCAAGTGTATGCTCACCAATGTTCATCACAAGTGGTCTGGGACATCAAAAGCAAGCTACAAAGCTCCTACGTATGATGATTTTCCCTTCTGAATTGAAAAGAAATAAGTCTGGAGGCTAAAGAGATCTTTCTGGGTTTTTTTCTCCACAGAGCTGGGAAAGGAAGAAGCCATAGGACTCCTCTCCCACAATCCACACAGACCAGTCCCACCTCATCCCACCCAAAAAATTCCTTGGGCTGGGGAAGAGCCTTCCCCTTTGGAAGCAGGTGTCTGCTTCCCCTGAGCTATATCATGTCATTTGGAATTCCTCACTACAAAGTGTTTTTGCCCAATGGCAGCTTTCTGTGGAGAGAGCACAGAGGATCTTTGCTCTTGTAGCCTGCTGAGCAGCAGCCACAGCACTGGCAGTGCCCGAGCTGTTGGCACTGGGACCTGCAGTTCTTAGCCACCCTATGCTCTCCTTGGCTCACTCTGGCACCAGATGTGACACCACTTGTCCCCGCTGCTCCACAACACAAACATGTATTACACAGCAGGGGGACACCAGGACCATTGCCAGTGAGATCTTGTACTGATGTCCCTTCTCTGAGAGGGACATCCCACCACAGCAAATCTCAGATCCCTGTGGAGATGTGAGAGCTGAATCTTACCCCATCCCTCCCCATGGCAAGGCCAGCAGCAGCACCAAGGAGTGCCTTACAGAGAGGAACCTGGGAACATGCTGGGAGCAGGAGACCATGGACTGGGGAGGAGGCCCTCTCACACATGGAAGTGACAGCACCTCTGAGGAAGGAAGGCAGCAGAAGAGTCATGCCTTTAAGTTCAGGGTTTGGGGAGGGGAGGAGTCTTCTTTCCCTTTCCCTTTCCCTTTCCCTTTCCCTTTCCCTTTCCCTTTCCCTTTCCCTTTCCCTCTCTCCTCCTTCCTTCTTCTTTGAATTTTTTTTTTCACATAGCCTATAGTAGCTACAGCATTTGAGAAATACATGTGGTGAGCTTCTCTGTTTTCATTTCAAGTGCCACCACAAGCAGGCAAAAAACATGCAAGAGATGCAGGTGGGCAGATAATGGTCTCTGGAGGGGTTGGGTGGTTCTATGCTGCCGTGAATCTTCTGAAAACCATTTTGCAGTTGCTACAAGCACACTGGTTATGTTCCTTCGGGACAGCGAGTGTTGGTGACAGACATCTTTCCCCGTGAACTGCCACCAGATGGCAAAATACCCATCAGCTGTGCTCGCAAGCCTGCTCACCAGCACCACTGGCTGGAGATTAGGCTGCAGGAGAGTGATGCCTGAAAGATAGGCTGGAAATAAATCCCCACAGACCGGTGTCTACAGAGCAAGTATTTGTTTATTGCAGCACCGGTGGTGAGGAGAGATCTCCACCTAGCTCACCCACCCTTGTCAAGTGCTGTGGTATATTTATACAGTAAGTGTTGCTTGGTGTCACTATGTCACTACAACATCATCATATACATACCAGAGTTAATTTACATGGTATGATCTCATGGTTATAAAAAGCTCTTCTGCACTGCACTTGTGCCTTCCCAGTTTGGGGGTCATCAGGGGTCTTTGATGAAGGCTTCCAAAGTCTTCTTTGCATCTGAACTTTTCAGCTTTGTCTTCGGAGTATGCACAGTTATGGTGGTCCTTGGTCCTAACCTGCCTGAATTCTTTGTTTTCTGGCTAAGTGGCTTTACATTTGCCAATTTCTCATTAGTACTACACTTATCTGTTTCTGAAGCTATCCACCTGGTGTGTTTTTATCTTCTTTTTTGTCTATTCAGCATTAAGCAGCTAGTTAAACTTATACTAGCCTTTACATTGTACAGAAAGTTATTTTTTACCAGGTTATATAGGTATAAAAAGTTATGATTCAGTTTGTATAGATATAAAAGGCTATGATTCAGGTTACTTAATATAGAAAGTTATGATTCAAATTGTACTGATATCAGGTTATATAGATTAATCAGGTTATATTGATGTCCTATAACTCAAGCTATAGAAGCACCTTGTAACTTAAGACCTAAGTTATATAGGCATCAAGAGGAGAAAGTGGCAGTCCAAGACATAGCATGCAACTGCTCCCATCAGGTATGAAACACTCCAAAATATCTCTGCTGCTCACTGGGCCTCACCCTCAAGCCTGATTTCTCACAGATCTGATTGATTTTGGCAGTCTGTTTCACAGGTCTCCCTAGGAAGCTCAGGTTTCTCAACTCTCATATAATTTAAGCACTGATCCATTAAGACTGCATCCCGACTTTGTTAGAATTCCAGATGGGAGGTGTGTTACAGTTGCAGTAGTTGGAATTGAACAAACTGACACTGCCTATAAAACTGAGTTGCAGACAGTTCGTACTAAGCTGACTTCATTATACAGTAACCAATAATGTGGAATGCATTGATAAAAGTAATGTTATATTTACAATGTATTTGAGTGGTCCCTGGGTGTTTTCAGTTCTATGTAGGCAGCAGTTTTAAGGTATTTCAGAGTTGCCATGAAATGTTAGTTAGTCCTGGATGTCTTGCTGGGCATCAGCATGAAAATGACTTTGACTGATATAACTGTACAGAAGTGGATATTTTCTTTTTGAGGATATGTATATTAGAAGAAGAAAATATTGCACAACTGTACAGCTTCAAAAATTAGGGTTATATAATTTCCCTCCGTTATGGAAAAAGAGTTGAGTCCTGGCAATACTTTTCTCAGCCTAGAAAGATCAGTAACCACTGTACTTATATATGGGACTAGGCTTTCCAGGTCCTTTTGGTCTAAGGATGCTGGCTGGATCAAATACAACTCCTCACCTCTCTAACAAGACAGGAAGGGTTTTTTTCTAGATTGGAATTAATAATTAACACTGAACTATTCCATACCAATAGGCCTCTATCCCTCCCAGACATGGCCCATTCTGCCCCAAATCGGTAATATTCATGGGAATGTTATCCAGAAGGAGGGATGCTGCTGAGCCATGTTTCCTGGGAAGGTGATCTTTGCCCTTCAAAACCTTTGGAGCTTCACATGGAATTTGAGCTCTCGAATTCCTTTCTCTTTTGATCTTGTGCCAAGTCTCCAGAGATTGTAAGCTTTGATTGAACTGGATATTGAAGCATAAATAAATGCTTTTTTTTTTCTGCTATCTGTACATATTCCTGGGCTTGAACTTAAATATGTATCTCAAAGATATGAAAAGATATAATGCCTTTATAAAAGACATGTAATGACAAATATCTGCTAATTTCATTCATGTCAATTCTCTTCCCTAACTCTCTCACTCCTGTTATTCTAATATGCAAGTTGTCATAATGAAATCCAGATTCATGTTAGCTAACATTTGGATGACTCTTTTTTTGGTTTTGCATTTTTTAATGTCCTTGTAGCCATTTTCTACATGTCTCACAGAGAACTCTGCCTAATGCTTGTATCAGCTGCACAGCCAACATTTCTCATGAAGCAGTGCTACTGAAAGACCAAGAAATGCAAATCTGCAAAGTACTGAATAATTACATTCCCAGAGGGGAGCTGCTATTTTCACAGCAACTTTACCACCCACATAGGCATTGAGCTGCTAAGTTACACTTGAGAGAAACCTTTGCAAAAATTGTTATGATGGCTTCACAAATTTCTTTAATTTCTTTACACAATTTAATTTCTTCACACAATTTCTTTAACTCCTTCATAGTCAGGGTTCTATCATAAACACTACAGGGGAAGAGACACAAGTTATCAGCATGGGAAAAACGTTGAATGTGACTGGCCTGTTGCTTCCTATCCTCAAATGCTAATCAACAGGTGGATGTAATGTATAGCTCATGCCCAGCACTATTAGGAGTACAAAAGTCCTTGCTGGCTGTTTGAACTACCGGGTAAGCCTGTTTAAACAGACAGGTTTTTTTCTGTTGTTTTTTAAGTTCCACCTTTCCAACTAATTTATTATCTGGTGTAGTGGGATTTTTTTGGGATTTTTTTGTTTGTTATTTTTGTTGGGGTTTTTTGTTTGTTTGTTTGTTGTTTGTGTTTTTTTTGTTGGTTGGCTTGTTTTTTGCTTTTTGGGGGTTTTTGATTGTTTATTTGGGGTTTTTTTTGGTTTTGGTTTTTCAGCGGCAATTTTGGGGGTTTTTTTGGTGGGGTTTCTTGTGATGGTGTTCACAGGGGTCTCAGGTTAAGGGAAGAGACGAGGATTTGACTCTATGTTTTAGAAGGCTTGATTTATTATTTTATTATATATATTACATTAAAACTATACTAAAAGTATAGAAGAAAAGATTTCTTCAGAAGGCCAGCTAAGAATAGAATAGGAAAGAATGATAAGAAAGGCAACTGTCTCAAATTCTCTGTCCGAACCAGCTGACTGTGATTGGCCATAAATTAGAAATCAACAACATGGGCCAATCACAGATCCACCTGTTGCATTCCACAGCAGCAGATAACCACTGTTTACATTTTGTTCTTGAGGCTTCTCAGCTTCTCAGGAGGAAAAATCCTAAGGAAAGGATTTTTCATAAAAGATGTCTGTGACAGTCTCTCATTGTGATTTTTGTTTGTTTGTTTGTTTTGTTTTGTTGGTTTGGTTTGTTTTTTTCATGTGGTAACACGAAAATTGATGATTAAACTCTTTCTAGGATGCCTCCTTTATATGGACAGTCTTGCCCTGTGTGAATAACAAAGTTGTTCAAAGATTCACATGTATATATTAAACATTGCCCTTTTTTCCCCCTCTCATGTGGTCTAGTTCTCAGCATTATTCAAAATGTATGTCAAATCTATCAGAATTTTTCAAATATGTTCCAAATTCTTTTGCACCTCTCCTTGTCATTCTCTCCATTACTCATATATTCAACTCTAGAATTACACACCCCACATATGCCAGAGAATCATGGAAGGGGCTTCTTTGGAAAATCATTAAGTCCTTTTGTGTGAAAGGGAACCTAAAAGAAATTACTTAGCACCTCATCTAATTGTGCCTTGAAAGCCACCAGCAATGGGAACTCTACCAAGTCCCTAGGGATTGTTCTTGTTGTAAGAAATGTCTTTCTTACCTCAAGATGATCCCTCACCCAGTGCAACTTGTATCACTGCCCTTTGTCTTCTACATGCAGCAATTTGTGAAGAGAGCCTCCATCATCTTTGCAGATGCCCCAGAAGTACTCAAATAATGTGATTAGGTCCCCTCTGAGCCTTCTCTTCTCCCTGAAGAAGAGACCTAACTCCTTCATTCTTTATTCATGGGGCAGGTTCTCTAGCCTTTCACCCTGCCGTGGCTACAATGCACTGCTGAGTCACTGGCTTGCTGTCCATCAGGACCCTCTGATCCCTTTCAGCAAGACTTTTCCCCCACCACACAGATCCTAGCCTATCCTGGGTTCTTTGAGTATCTCCTCTATGCAGGACTTCACACTTGTCTTCACCCTGTTCTTTCCTGCCCCTTCCTTCAGTCTGTCAGGGTTTCTCTCTAAGATGGCTCTCCCTTCTGATGGATTCACCTCATTACCCAATTTGGCATCAGCAGTGAAGTTAGAGAAGGTGGTTTCAATCTCATCATCAGACAGTTTATGGAGATGTTGAACACTGTGGAACCCAGTATCAATCCCTGGCAGAGCCCACCAGGCTGCTAGCCTGACTAAAATACATCATTGATTGCTGTTTATTCCACCCATCAGTGTAAAGATATACACGACTCCCATGTGTGTGCCCAACGGTTTCCAAGTGTGTGCAAGGTGGGTTTGCTAGTCATTTTTACATTACTAAGAGCCTGTTATTTGCAAAGAAGAAAGTGCTTTTAGTACAGTTGCGGTCTATATGAGAACTCTAGAGCTGTAACACAACAAGACACTGATAATTATACAGTAGCAAGGCCTGAGGGCTAAATACCAGATTGAAACTTAAGTCCAAAGGGATTTTCCTCATTAGTGTGTGAAGCAACTTCTCTGGATTTCCATGTCCTTAGAGATGAAATGGTTCTAATGATGGTTACTTACTGCCTTCCGCAGGTGGAAAAGGCTACATAAAAGGTAGAGGAACTTGTTTTGGTATAGGTCATCAAGCTGCATCCAAGGATGCTTTCATTTTAAATGGAATGACTGCAACTCACTGGTTACCAGTGCATGGACAACATGGAAAGAGGACAAGCCAGAGTGCAGAGGTTGTTGCTGAACCAACTTCTTTTCAGCCTCAGATCCCACTGAAGTGATCTTCTGATCACTTCTTGCGTTGAACATTGCTGATTGTTGCCAGATAAGATAATGTTGCCCATTGCACTGTAACTTGGAGCTAAATACACAAAATTTGTTTTTGAGCATGCTAAGTTCCTTGTTGCGTTGTGCACATGACAAGATACCTTGTTGGGCTTGTTGTTGTTGTTTCCTAAGACCTCAAACCATTTTGTCTTTATGGGATATACAACATATATGCCTATTTCTTAGGATTGAAATGATTTCTAGCAGTTATCATTTTCAGTGCAGTGTAAATAGGAAACTTCAAAATATGAGTGACTGACGAACTACAAAAGTGAAAAGCACTGATTTGAAATATCTCAGGTCAAGAGAGACATTTTATTGTATGCTTTCCCCCCTGCAGATTTGACTATTTTGAGAGCATGAATCACTATAGTTCTTTGAATTCCTTATGTACTACCACTGAGAAAAATACACAGTTCCTTCTGAAAATGAGCTGCAATCACAGTCATGTGAACAGGACAGAGGAGGTTGCTGCTCTGAGGCAAGGCTCTGTCCTGCTGTAAAAATATGTGAAAGGAAGTAAAATTTTAAGCATGTTTTTGGAAGCTTTCCTCCTTTTCCTCCCCACTCCTCTTGTTTGAATTGCTTGTACTGTGTTGAAGTTGTTCTATATTCACAAAAGTGTAAAGGCTCAGGGACCTCCTGAACATGGACATTTGGCATCCACCCTCTTTGTGTCCAAGTACTGCTCCTTGGATATTGCTTTAAAGATGCAAGGAACTTGAACCTTTTCCTACAGATGAGAAAATAAGCAAAGAGGAAAGAAGAATTACATCTGAAGAGCCCTGTAGTCAATCCAGAACCCAAGAGTACAGTTTCATGGGATTCAAAGTCTGCCTCTTGGGATATTGATGAACTGCCTCCCTTTCCAAGCCCCTTTGACTATAATGTTTCTTACCCTAAACTGGAGCCAAGAACTCCTGCAGCAATGCTCAGCTGACCAGATCTGGAAAGAAGGAAACTTTGATAGACAAGATGAAAACATAGTTCTACCAACTTTCACAAGCATCACTGAACTTAATCTTTTCATATTGCTTGAACGCTTTGTTTGAAGTGAAAATTTTAGCAAACTTAATTATAACCTTATGGCAGAATAATATTTCATGATCAGTTTTAAATATCACAAATTTCAAGATGTGCTCTCAGTGGTAGATACAACACATGTAAGTCAGGGAGAATGCAAATTGTCATGTTAGCATGATCACAAAGCAAAGTAAATTTACCATAGACAGATAATTTCTCTCTAAAACTCTGACTAATAAAGATTAAAAATATCAAGGTCAGGATGCCCATGTAGAACTAACAGAAAAAAAACAACATTCAGTAATGTGATGCGGGGCTTCTCCTCCCACTCCCACCTCCATGTATGTGGCTGTTGCACAATGTTTTTATATCCTGCAAACTCCCCTGTGATTAGCCTTGCTCTGCAGTTGTGGGACAGAGCGCACATTGTGTATGTTCTTTATTTCAGACACTGCCCTGAATTCACACCCCATTGTGTATGCAGCTTCTGAAGACATACTTACGTTTAGATGTGGACCTGGACTGGACACGGCAGGAAGAAAAAAACCTTGGGCCCCTCACTAAGGTTGAATGTAGACCTAAGCACATGTTCACGCAGTGGCTGGTTAACTCCCATGTGAGCTGCACAGTTAGCCTTAGCCCTGCATCATCATCACTGGCTGCTTGCAGACAAGCTGGCCCCAGGTCCCTCCAGAAAGGACTTTGGCACCACCTGTGACAGTGATATTTTCATCTGCTTGGATGCTCTAGAGCAAAAAATATGAACAGAGTCAAGTCAGGCACAGTGCCAGGGTTTCAGATTTTCTCTGTGGCTCAACCAGTAACTAGAGCACCAATAGCTGTGTGCAGCTGTTGCTAGAGAACTGCCTGCTTATGGTGATGAGAAAAGACTGTGGAACTGAAACTCAGCTCCCATGCCCCAGTTACTGCCCTGAGAGTCCCACTTTCTTGCTAGAACACAATGCATGGGTTGCAGCTATGTGGTTGTGAAACATCTGTTTGATTATGTAAAGGTATATAAGGCCAAAAAAGGTGAAGGTCTGCAGAAAGAAAACATTGCCACCTTTTTGATACAAGTTTTATAATGTCCAAATACATTTTCCAAGTAAAAGAGACAATTTGATTTAGCATGCAGCAAAGACAAAGGCAAAGCCAGCTCTTGAACCTTGCCAAGATTATTTTTTTACTCCTAAGCTCTTTACATCATCCAAAAATATTTTTCACTTGAAAGATTTACTTGAACAACCATTTCTTAAAGAGAAAATTACTATTTATGCTTAATGCAATTCACATCAAGGAAAAGGGTTTAGCTGTGGAAAACCAAAAAGTAAACAATGGCATTTTCAAGAGCAGTGGCATTTCTCTTCTATCCTATGAGTATGTTCTATCCTATAAGCTGAGACATTTCAATCTTAGTATTGAGGTTTATTCCTCATAGGTTTGGTCATTCAGAAAATATTGGATCCCTGAAAATAAGCAATATTTCATTATCACAATGAGTCATTTAAATTTTCAAAGCCACTGAAGTGTAATTACAGTAAAAATATGGGACAGAAACCACTTCCGGTTTTGCATGGTGAGTGCATATCAAGTAAGGGTGTTGGCCCTGCATATGGGGAAAAAAATGTTGTAATTTCACAAACTGGCATGTAGATAAAGTGGCTTGCTCAGAAACCAAAGACACTAAGATTTTTAACTGACATTCAAGCATGGTATTGGAGAACAGAAAGAATTATGCATACTCCCACATACTACTATTGTTGCATAAGGACAGCTACATGGTTATTTCCCTTGTTTTGATGCCCCTTTTTCTTATTTTCTGCAGCAATTAGAAACACCTGACTTGGGGACGTCTCTGCCCCTGCCGCTCTAGAAGGGCATACGGAATGACACAGAATCACAGAATGGATTGCTTTGGAAGGGAGCACAGTGGGTCATCTGGTCCAACCTGACTGTTTAAGTGAGGTCATCCCAGGGCACATGGCTCAGATTTGCATCCAGATGGTTATTGAGTATCTCTAGCGAGAGAGACTCCAACTCTCCCTGGGCAATCTGTTCCAGGATTTAGCCCCCTGCACAGAAAATTCTTCCTCATGATCAAATGGAACTTCTCCATCACCAGTTTCTACCTGTTGACTCTCATCCTGTTGCTTGGCACCACTGACCTGAACCTGGCTCTGTCCTCTTGCCACCCTCCATTCAGAAACTCATAGACATTGATGAGGTCCCATCTCAGTCGTCCCTTCTTGAAAAGCAGCAGAGTGTGAGTGGATTTCGGACAGCACACGGGCTGAGCTGTGCTGCCAGTGCGGGGCAGGGGAGGCCCGGTCAGGCAGGGTCAGGGGGGCTCGGTCGGGGGG